GAAAAAATGTAAACTAGACAAAGTGATGCCCCGCACTCAACTCATTTAACCGCTTATACCCCAAAAAATGACAAACAAAAAGTTCCATTATCTCCCAAAAGAGCAAAAGATAATAAAAATAAAAACCCTGACCACATGCACACCTTCAATATAAAAAATTATGTACAAACAGCCAGCAGAGCGAAAACTTCCTAGCATTCAAACTGTAGGAGGAGTTATCTGGAAACGCTCTTCTTATGCAAGTAAATTTCCCAAAAAATTACAAAGTTCAACTATCTCCCAAAAGTGCAAATATTAATAAACATTAAACCCTGACCACATGCACACCTTCAATATATGTACAAACAGACAGTAAAGAGAAAACTTCCTAGGATTCAAACTGTAGGAGGAGTTATGCGGAATAACTGTATACCCATAATGGGACGGACAGACGGACGGACGGACGGACAGGGGTAAAACAATACCCCCCCCCCCCCCCCCAACTTTCAGTTGCGGTGGCATACAAAACAGTTTCATTTGGCTGACTCAATAGATCGGTATGACTGGGTAATATAAATCCATCGGGGTGATCTCGGATGCTCCAGAAAGGCACCCGTCGTGTTATTCGAGAAAGTACAAACCCAGTGATTTGGTTTTATTTGGTAGTTCACATTCAAGAAAAAGATGACGGTATTATGGTTACGACCACTGGAAGATGTCCGTCGTCACATGTGAAACATATTCCAAAAAGTTTATTTTTCAATTAGTGCAAGGTAGATCAGGGAATTCAATTGATTACAAATAAAAGATTGATATTTGTATAAGTTCAAATGATCATTTACGCTAAAAAAAATTCGGAGAATTCTTATTTTATAGTATTGATGCTTTGTCCGAGCCCCCTCCCCCCGTTTCCCTGTAACTTTAGTGTGAGTTGATTTGAAGTGCTTCATTTGTTAACATTAAAGTTCAAGTCGTTTGATTTGTGTCGAGCCTGCGACATCAATGTTGCGGCAGTGAGACCCAACAAACCTATATTTCGTCGTCGATAGTGGCGTCGGCGTCTCCATCTCCATTTTTTTTTAATTTCTATTGAGTTTAACCTTTCATTATACATGTTACTAAACACGTATGCCATTATTATTTTGTACTTTTAGAATATCATACTGTAAACTTGTAATTAGTTTTTAGAGAATAAAGTATCTATCCATCTATCTATCTATCTATAGATCGTTAGGTTTCTAGTTTTTTACGTTTTTCATTTCGGGACCTTTTATAGCTTACTATAGGGTATGGGTTTTGCTTATTGTTGAAAACCATACAGTTTTGTTTTAGTTAAATAAAACCGAATTGAACTGTTTTGACATGATAAATTTGTAAACCTCCATGAAGTGTTTTAAAACTTGTATAGCAGTATAGGAGTTTTTACCGATAAATGTATAGATAAATGTACAGCCGATCAACATGACGCTTTTACACTTACAGCAGCAATATCAGGCGAGACATAGGGTTCCGTGGAATATTTTACAAATTTATTACAAAAATACTGCTTCCGTTTGAGAACTTAGGATAAAAACAACAAGACAAAGTGGTTTGGGGATATCCCAATTATGTAAGAAATACTGTAAACTTTTTAATACTTTTTTTCTTATTATTGTCTGCCGGCCGGTTACCTTTTTCATGCTAAATAACTCTGAACACCCACTCGAACTTTAATTTGAACTTTAACTCAATGGATAGCGATACTTATCCAAAGCACATTAAACAAATGATATATTGAAATCTGTTTAAAAATAGAACATATTTTTCTTCGAATTGGTCACGTGGTTTTACCTCATCAAGTAATGGGATAACCACATCAAAGAATGACAGGACCACATCAAATAATGAAACAAACACATCATGTAGTGTAAAATCGTCAAATTTTGAAATATCATTACGTAATGTTAATACCATATAAAGAATAGGCAAATCACCATTACGAAATAACAAAACCACATCATGCAATGAAACAACTACATAACGTTAAGTCACATTCACATCAAGTAACGTTAAAACCACATTGACTAATGACACAACCACATTAAATAATGGTGAAACCACATCGAGTAATGACAAAACCATATTGAGTAATGACAAAACTATATATCAAGTCAATACGAAACCATATCGTGTAATATCGAAATATCATTAAGTAATGACTATTCCATATTGAGTTATATCAAAACATCATTACGTAATGTCAAAACCATATTAAGTAAAGACAAAATATCATCAAGTAATAATAAAACAACATAAAGTAATATCAGAGTTCCACATAAGACAGCTGAGGCGTTCCATACATATCCTCAGACAAGCTTAGGAGATAATTTTCCTCAAGTGGGTTAAACAGGGTGCGTCTAAACACTGCTAAGGAGTCCTTAGTGCACCAAGGACTTATGATATGCCACTAAGGACTAGATGGGGTGCTATTACCTTAAATGTCTTTTCATATTATGGTTGATATTGATATTTTATGCATAAATTTCAAATTTTTTAGGAAAATAATCACAAATAAATGAGTTATTCAACATTGTGTAGACACGTGCCTGTTTTTCTTTGATATGCCGAAAATCAATGAACCGTTAGACACGTGTCAAATTACATAACTGATTACACGGGAATCCTGCTATCTGTTGTGTTTAATCGACAATATTGGAAAAGTTGGATACTAATGAATGAATTGTTTTCAGATTATATTTCAGTGATCAATTTTGATTTGACTTCGCACTGAATAAGTTGTTAAAATTTTATTCGCTTTTTTTTTTCAGATTCTCAAGAGTATTTTGTAATTATTTCTTGTAAATATTAGATTTGTTTCCAGAGCAATTTATCTAAATGTATTTTCATATATGAAGACGTTTAGAAATGTATTACTGGACAAAACGAAATCAATAAGATAATAAATCTTTACTACATGCAACCACACTAATTTCATATATGAACTGTTTAGGCAGAGATTATCTTATGCGTTTGCTATGGTTCATTTTCAAAATTTTTATCATATTTATGAAGAAAACGTTTGTGCAATATATTATTTCTGGACAAAAACGAATTCAATATGATAAAAAAATATTTACTACGTAATACCAAACTTATTTAATGCAAGCTACATGTAAACAGACGTATTTAAAACATGAACAGTTTGGACAGAGTTTATATATCTTTTGCGTTTGCTATGGTTCATTTTCAAAATTTTTATCATATGAAGAACACGTTTGAGCAATATATTTCTGGACAAAAACGAATTCAATATGATAATAAATTTTTACTACATGCAACCAATATAAGAAAGAAGATGTGGTATGATTGGCGATGAGACAACTCTTCACAAGAGACAAAATGACATAGAAATTAATAACTATAAGTCACCGTACGGCCTTCAACAATGAGTAAAGCACATACAACATAGTCATTATTTCATACAATATCTTAAACAGACAATTTGGTTAAAAAAATACAAATCGGATTTCCATCTGACATACTTGTTCTTCTTAAAGAAAAAATAGATTGAAAGAAATTATATTTGAAAATATTTCTGTTGGTTTTGTTTCAAGGATTTGTATAGTTATATACTATACAAATCCTTGTTTTTTTCATTTATACACGTGATAGATTTAGGTATAAAGTATTCAAATTATCTTGTATTACAAAAAATGATTATTTTCACATCATGAAAAAGAATATTTTTCAAGGCATTCGTACAAAGCATAACCTTTTTATGTCAAAATTATATCTATATTATAATACCTTTAAATTAACACATACGGGATAATTTTCGTAAATAATGTGCTAAAAACTATGGAATATTTAAAAAAAAAAATTTCTCCTTTATATATTTGAAAATGAAACTTCAAAGTTCGATAATGATATTTAAACTTCTTATACTTTTAGAGAAAAAAAATGTCGAACAATTACAAAAAAATAATACGGTATGAAGCCTTTGTAAACAGCTATCAAACTGGTTGAAAACTAGTGGTTTTGAATAACCCCAAGGACGTCAGATGATTTTTTTTCTCAATTCAATCGTAATTCGTACTAAGTATGAAGCAGTAATAGAAAGTGGAGAAGCAAACACCAGGTTTTGATAGTCTTTTTCGGAATTTACTCATAAATTTTAATGAAACACGCATCTTTGTCGGAATTAAAATTAAAACAAAAAACTTATAAAAATATCTATTCCTTTTGTCTTGGTATCTCTAAATATTACTTCCATGCTCTTACATAAACATTTAACAAGCTGACCACACTCTTAACTTATTAGTTTGCGCACATCAAAGTCGTGCACAAATGGCAAATAACTTTGTCGAGAAAGATATAAAAAATCAATAAAAGTATTTGTCCTTTTAATCATTGCAAATAAGAACAACATATTTAAATATAAATTATTAAGCATTAATCTTTTCGATACAATTGTTTATTACTTAAAATAAAAAGATTATGATTGTTTATTCAGATTATTATTATTATTATTATTATTATTATTATTATTATATCGATTGGTTGATAGTAATGCATTTTTAACTTTATAGATACAATTTTTACTTTACTATTTATTTCTCCGCCACCACTTAGGATAGCGGTTACGACAATCCGGGTAAAATATCATAAGATAGATTCGATGTGCATTCTAAGATACACCGAGGGACAGTCCGAAGGTTATCCTTAGAACAGACGGACAGATCGTAGGATACCTTTGATGAAAAAGCCCTGGATTCAGGAATCTATTTTTACTCGCATTTAAAATGCGAACCAAATATATGCTGCAAAGAAAGAAACAATTTCTTGTTCGTGAGATGCGTCAGAATATGCGCACCATGTCGGAAACCTGGTCTCATGCTGTTTCGAGGTTATTAGATTTTTAGATTTCATTTATGTTTACCTTTATAATCTTTTAAGTGTAGACTTTTGAGAAATGTTGACATAAGTATGATACTTGTATATGCAACACATATAGTGCTTAATAAATTTACCCTTTTTTATAGATGCAAATTGTATATTGCCTCCAGAACTTAGGAATATGGAGTGGATCTATAATTATATCAGGCCAGATAATAATCAACCGGTAACAACTACACTACGGTTTCAAAATACAATTCTAACATCACCGTCATCCATAAATTTTAACGCTTTTGGAACGACCATAGACGCATGGACTTGCATATCTAACTTAACATTGTCAAATACAGAATCCGTTGTTCTTTTTAAGTTAGTATATATAATGTATATCGTTATAGCTAAAACTTTTTTTTTCAAGGTTTCGTTTCTTTAAATTGGATACAACAAAGACATGCTAGTCGAATTTTTCCCCGATTTTTGAATTGGATAATGTTTCAAATCTTTTGGAAATCAAAATATATCATACTAAAGAATGTGTAAAATGCATAATACCTAGAAACAAAATATTATATACATTGTACTATACTTTTTTATATACATTCTAGATACTTTTTTAACTGTTTATCCGAGTTCTTAACTGCGCGTGAAACTATTTTTTATTATATACACGTATTTTCACTCGTACGAGATATTACTGACTGTAATTACATCCAGTAAAAGTAAAACGGAATCCATTCAGTTCAACCCTTACTTCTGTTTCTACACAGAAGAGCTAAAGGTCGCCATACTGATATGTCATAGGTAGCAAAGGTAAAGTTCGTGATTAAAAAATAGGCAGAAGATACAAAAGCGACTTGCTAAATTCCTAAGTCGACGAGAAGTCGAAGAGTATGGCAAAAAAAAAAGAAAATTAACAAAACCCCACAAAACACTTCAAAGAAAACCAAAGTATGAGCATTACGGAGCAACACGAACCCCATCAAAAGCGGGTGATCCGGAATGATAAGCAGATTGTGGCGACGACAACTGAAAAGACGAAATAATGTATCGAACCTAGTTAAGAATATAGTACTATCATACCATACCTGTTTTTCAAACCAAACTTTGTTTAGTAAGTAGACTTGACACAGTTTAAAAAATTGAAATAAGATAATCACATTAAGTCCATGAAATATGTTCGGGCCGACGTCAGGTCATTTATATTAAGAGATTTCCTTTTGTTATTTTTTCTTTTCTATTTTAGGAGCGATCAAAGTTATACAACTGGACTTTTTAGTGGTAGTAGATGGTTATATCTTTGTATGAAATTCACAAAGGTCACAGACAACTTGTTTTACTTCTACTTATTATCGGGTATTATTTTTGATTTTACAACATTTCATTAATTAGTACTATAATAGTTGCATTCGTTTGTGTAGGCTTATCTAAGTTGCCTAAGTCTTGTGTTTGTGAATTCCTTGTCTTCTTTTTCTTCTAAATGCTGGCTTTGTTTCTATTTTATGGCGAATTAGACAAAAAAAAAAGGTTCTTTCTCTTTCACTAGAACAAGTCGCTGTCAAAAAGTAATAAAAAAATCAAATGTCAGACGCCTATGAATGAGACAAATTGCTCAACACATATGGTGGACACACTTTATGAAAGCTCTCTTTCTAAGGGAAAACTAATGTTTGTTGTTGTAAACCTGCTTATCAAGTACGTGTTTGAATCTGTTCGAAACCTTTCAAAATTCCGGTAGACGAAGAAAGTCCTCAATGTTGCAAGCCCAACTGCTGAATAATACTATGCGTTTCAAAGTAATATTATGTGTTTCTGAGTAATTCCATATGTTTTCTGCTGAATAATACTATGTGTTTCTGAGTAATACTATGTGTTTCTGAGTTAGATTAAGTGTTTCTGAGTAACACTGTGTTTCTGAATAATACTACGTGTTTCAATCACGTTAATCTTGATAACAAAACAGCTAAAATGTTCCTGTTACATGTATGTCTCATAATATTAGATTATTGGCTATATTTCTCTTTGTCAACACCACATATACTTCTGACATACGACAATTGCTTAAATTCATGATTTTTATATTTTATCAACATTTTTAACTACAATAAACTACATGTTTCCACGACGAATTTATTATTCTTTGTCAATCGCCAAAAAGGTAAATGTATATATCACTAATGTAATTATAGCAAATTTCAATTTCAAAATTAATTTTGTCTTTCAATTTGGACTCTTCAGATGTGGATAATACTATAGTTCCAAATGAGAGGGTATTCAATCCACCTCACAACAGTATACCAGCTGATACAGAACCACTGTGTAGTACGTTTTGTCAATATTCAACAGAACCAAAAATACGTACACTACAAAAGACAGGTAATTGGTTACAAGAAATTTTATTTGTTCCACAATCACATGTATAGTTCACTGAAATAAATTAAGACATAGTAACACGAGGAAAAGCCAAGAAACGAGTGAAAATGTCATAAACACCGATTTAAACAATACTAGACACAAAAACCTATGACTTAGATATAGGAAGATGTGGTATGAGTGCCAATGAAACAACTCTCCATCCAAGTTACAATTTATAAAAGTAAACCATTATAGGTCAAGGTACGGCATTCAACACGATGCATTGGCTCACATCGAACAGCAAGCTATAAAGGGCCCCAAAACATTACTAGTGTAAAACCATTCAAACGGAAAAACCAACGGTCTAATCTATATAAAAACGAGAAACGAGAAACACGTATGAACCACATAAACAGACGACAAGTTCTGTAATCAGATTCCTGACTTTGGACAGGTGCATTGTACAGAAGTAGAAATATTTTGAAGCCATTTATGTTGAAAAACCAATGAACTAGACAGATAAAGAGAGATAGAGTGTGCTTGTATATATGTTCCTGACCATATGAGTATTTGGACCATACGCGTATGGTCATGACCATCTGCGTATATACTCATATGGTCCGACCATACGCGTATGCTCCGGATAATTGACACGACGAACGTTGAAAAGGTGTCGCATACATTAAGAGTTTCTGAAAATGAAATTTTGACTTATTCAATCATATGGTAGTCATTTTTATGTGAATATTACTTACAAGTAAGAATTATAGTAAAATAGTTTTAACATTGTCATTATCAATTTGTCCATATGAAACGCAATATGTCGACTTTTGAAAATTACTTGAAGAAATATCTGAATGAACTGTTAGACAATAAGGAAATTGCTTAACTCACAGTCACTTTGGTCATTGAACCCTCTATCTTTTCTCTTTAAAATTTCTTTTGGTGTTTAAATTTGTTTTTATTAAATTATAACTTCTTAAACATTTCTTATTGATTTTAGTAAATTCATTCATGTGTTCTTGCTCCTATTCATCCGATCTTACAAAGACAGTAAGATCGTATGAATAGGAGCAAGAACACATCAATTAAATGAAAATAAGTAGAATTAAGAAGAAATTTTGTTTCTGAAATAATAATTTAAACACTAAGAAAACAGAACAAAAAAATCTAAGCCCCAAACACATGTGGTTTCACTTACGGACGAATATCTGCAGTATAAAGGTGATGTGAATTGAATATTAGCGAATGCAAGATAACATATACACCAAGATTTAGACAATATGTAAAAGATAAAAGAATTCAGATAGTAACTTGTTTTGTTCAGAGAATGAGCTGTGTGTTCCTGCAAAGAAAGAAAGAATGATTCCAAAAATACCTATATGGTATAAATACTCGTATGGTCTGGCCCGTTAATAAACAAACGAGTATAATACTCATATGATTTTTTAATATTAATAAAAAGGGAATAAATTCCACAACGGCTTGCCATAGTTTCGGCTTTTGTTTCGAATGTTCGTCTTTTTCATGTTTCAAAACTATTTTGAAACATTGCAGTTTCTAGTCATTTGCAAACTTCAAATTGTTTAATAGGATGATTTTTACTGTTAAGAAATATGATATAACATTCGACGTAAAGATAACTTATTGCCAGAAGCGCTTAAAGGAAATAACGAAGAGTTGAGATTAAAATGAGTGCAATTATGGTGTAGTGATTCGCACAAATGTTCTTTTTTATGCTTGTTACGCCGCTTTTAGATAATAACTATGAAATTAATAGAAACGACATTGAATATCAGTTGAAGATACGGACATCATATAAATATTAACATTTAGATATAAAGTTTACAGAAACAGGCAACAGAAATCTTGCATTACGGTATATTTTTATGTGATATATTTTATCTATATCAGGTACTACCGATGTTGTGCCAAGTGACGCAGCTTTGTGTACGCCTTGTGAAAATCCATGTGAAGAACGTAGGTTAAATACAATTAATTCATTAAACTTGACAATAAGTTAAAACTCCTGAATTTCCTAAGGTGGTCAAAATCTACCTAATACGGTCAGCTAGGACAACAAATAGCCGTGATTGATATAAAGTATACTTAATGTAATGTTCCTGTTCTGATAGATATTTCCAATAAAATGACATTACTTGACTTAACCAACCTACGTATCTATTGCATTGAAACGAGACAGAGGGTGCTTAGGTTGCATGAATTGTTACTCGTTATATACAAATGCTTTGTTAGGATATATTCTAGTTAAAAATTGACCCAATCTGCTATTCTAAGTCTGTACGTATTTTGTTATTAAGTGTAAGATGATTTAATTGCCAACCACCTTTTAAAGGAATAATAAATCAAGTTGCTTTAATAAATGCAACGGCCATTACTTGGTCATTCCACTTGACCCATATGTTTAGTTCTTTCAAAAGGGGAAAATGGTGTAACAGAAATAACTAACTCCAAAGCAAATTCAAAAAGGGGAGGTCCATACAAACTTAGTACAGGCATTTTCCGAAGGAAATGGTGAGTTAAACCTGGTTTTATAGCTAGCTAAACCTCCCACTTGTATAACAGTTGTTCATATTTCCCTTATATAGAAAAAATTTGGTAAGCAACCCAAACAGACATAATAGGATTTAACTACAAAATCTAAAATCTAGTCTGAACAACCAAAGTAAATAAAATCAGAAACGCGATGATTTTCTCATTTCTATTGTTTAAGTGTTTTTAAAAGGGAGGTTCAGACACGTCTGAAAAGAAAAGGTGTACACGACTAAATTTTGTCTATAAATCATTTCAAGAAACGTTTTTCTGAAGCAGCAATTCAGATCATTGATGCCTTAATGAAATAGAAAATGTTCCTCCTACCTTAAAACTTTCACTTTACTAATTCAGGTTTTACTTTACTTGTTCCTTTAATTATAATGATACATGTGTTCTAGGAAGAGTCTTCGTGTGTTCTTAAACGTTATTGTTTTTATGAAATATTTGACGTTTAACATAGACATATCGTCTGAAAAACGGAAATGTATGGAATATTACATTGTAGTTATGTTAAGTATGATTCTTTTATTTGTATGCCCAACCTATGATAGTAGAGAGATATTGTAGTTTTGGTCTGTGCGTCCGTCCCGTCGGTACCGGATTAAAAAAAATTAAAATGATATACCAAATTAGAGTTTTAAACTCAATTCAGTGAACAAGACAATGTGATGCTGTAAGAGGTGAACGGTTTGGTATGAAGACAAATTCTTGTTTCATAGTTATATATCTAACATATACATATATGTGTATCTTTAATTTCTTTAATTAAAGTGAGTACCTTATTTATTAAAGTGGTATGTGTAAATAACAGTTGTCATAAAAATATGTCACAAAAACAATAACATATACCCGACTCATTGGGCCTATAAGTCACTTTCAAAATCACAAAAAGTATTTCCTTTTCATTATCATGTGAGAACGTTTGAGCTAAAGTTAAAATTTGTAATGCTAAATTATAATGAAAAATTGAAAATAAAAATAGTTGAATTAATGATTAAATGTATGTCTAAATAAATTAATAAATTACAGTATATAACCAGAAAATGTTCAGATTGATGATGAGAAAACGCCATTCAAAACAAATTCCTGGTTGTAATGGTTTTAGCTGAGCACATCCCAAACAAATAAAATTGAGAAACAAATCATGGTAACAAATGATAAACAAATTGTATGATTTTTTTATGATTTGAAAGTGATAAAATTTTACATGCAAAATAGCTTACAAATCACAGCAAAATATCACAAACAAATTGCTTCCAATTCATAAGCAAATCACAAACAAATTGTCAAGATATCATTTTGAAATCATTAACAAATCAGAGGTAATTTGTTTCCTACTTAAAGCAAATAACGAACAAATTGTTTTTAAATTGTATAGAAATTATAAACAAATTGTTATCAAATCTTTAACAAATCAGAAGTGAATCATATTCCTACCTCAAGCCAATCACAAACAAATTGTTTTCAAATTATGACGAAATTACCAACAAATTGTTATCAAATCTTTAACAAATCAGAATTAAATCATATTCCTGCCTCAAGCACATTAAAGCAAATCGTCAACAAATTGACACCAATCATCAATTCACAAATTAAATAATTTACATCTAGATCAAAATATATTCTGCCTGCCTCTGGGACCCCCAAACTTTAAAGTGATCTTGTCTTCATCTTACCTTAGCTTCTCCTTCCATTGTTAAGGGATTACTATCTCTGGTTGCCATGAGGGACGAATTGTTCCCTCTGTGAAAGGTTTTTCTTACTTCTCCCGAATTTTACTCTTACGAGATTTAGCGAACACATTGGCAACCACCTTTACTAGAAGGATGTCAAATAGTCTGTTAATGTAGCTGTGCCCCTACAGCCCTGAACCTCGCCAGTTAATATCATGAAAAATTAAAACATACCAGGGAATTTCGTCTGCTGACTCGAGAAGCTAGTCTTTAATTGCATGTCTCGATCTGTTTACACTTCTTTTACACATTTTTATTTTGAAAATTAATTACTGAGAGTACAAAATTATTACAAGATACTGAAATGAAAAGTTTCCGAATTTAAAAGGTCAACACATTTCATATATTTGAATAGTATTAATTAAACGTGCGAAATTATAAAAAAAAATGACAGAGATTCCTTACCACTGTCATCATTGATAGTATATTTTACTCTTCATTTTGCAGTCTTCTTCGTTCAATCAATGTAGAACAGTATTTGTAATTTGAATTTGATCTCAACCGGAAGTCAGAGATGTACATAAATCCAGAAAATCCAAATGCAACAAAATTGTATTCATTGTAGCAAATCATCAATGAATCACACCATGATAGCTAACAAAGATACCAAATCATTTTTAAATCATTTCATTTGATATTCTAAGTAAACAAATCATAAAGAAATCACATCATTTTAGCATACAAATTTAACAAATCTTTTTCAAATCATCAATACAATATATTCTAAAGTAAACAAATCACAAAGAAATCGCAACAAAACAGAAACAAATTGCTTACAAATCATAAAATTGAAGGAATTACAAAGAAATCAATTTGGGGGAATTTAGCGAATTCTGATTTGTTCATAATTTCTTTGATGAATCGCAAGCAGATGGTACTAACAAATCGCAGAATCACGATTTGAAAGAGATTTGAATACGATATGAAAGCAATTTGTTCATTCGTGTTTCTGTTTGGGGTTCATTCTTCTATAAGAACCCCTTACGTTTCGTTAAAACCAGACATCCTGTTACTCGTACGTATTTCAACGGAATATATTCAAAACGCATAAATTTTATCGATAACGAAATTAAAGGGAGGCGATCGTTATTAAACTAGAGTTTTCTTATTCCTTATAATTTGCAGACGGAGAGCTTGAAATGATACTTTATACTTCATTTTTCATCACCTTAAAATCATTTGAAATTGACGAAAAATCTAGTAAATGCTTTAAGTCGTGTTCAACTTGAACGACATATTTTACAAATTCATAGGTTTGCAATAATCGGTCACATTATGTTCGTACGACGAACCACTAAATGTGAAATCCTAATTTATTATCATCATCACCATCGTTATTGACGTGGTTATCATCATCATCATGATAGTTTGTCATAAACTTTCCAATCTATATATACCGGGAGATTTCAATTACAATCAAACTCATTTCACTTTCCCTTAAGAATAAAAACTATCAATTGAATGTATCTCCAAAAATACATTTATCAACAATCATTGAAGGAAACAAAGCTTTTTCAGTGACTATTATCTAGGATTTGTGAGTTGTGGATTTTTTCGAATGTTTGTAAAATATTTAGTATATACCGAAGTGCTTATGTATGTTTTTCCAAAGACTAATCTTTCATAAATATTTACATTTCCCTACTCGAAATATATAATAAATAAATAAAAAAAAAACTTTAATTGGTTATATACAATTGCAGAGGTTGTAGCTTGTCTAGACCTTGATCAAGTAAACTTCGCTACTATAACTGCCCAGACTGGTACAAACTACCAAGTCACAATAACTTATGCATATATCACTGGATATGAATTGACGTCTGGTAGTCTGACTCGTCAAAAAAGAGGGACAAAAGATAGCAGAGGGACAGTCAAACTCATAGATCGAAAACAAACTGACAACGCCATGACCAAAAATAAAAAGACAAACAGACAAATAATAGTTCAGATGACACAATATAGAAAACTAAAGACTAAGCAACACGAACCCCACCAAAAACTGGAGGTGATCTCAGGTGCTCCGGAAGGGTAAGCAGATCCTGCTCCACATGTGGCACCCGTCGTGTTGCTTATGTTATTACAAATCCGGTAAACAGTCTAATTCGGTAGGTCACATTCGTGAAAAGGGAAGGGTATTGTAGTTACGACATAAGGAACATATCCGATATCATCTGTGAAACGGTTATTTCATAACGGTCAACCAACAATCGATTGAGCAACAATCCTCTATGTATGGCAGTTGTTGGCATGATACGGGTTATGTTTATCTCGTATATTTTATGATGGAATGATACTAAACCCCTAACGGGAGGGATTGTGCTTTTCATATGATGAAGAAATAATCTCTTCAGTTTATTTTAGGTCTGGTTCTGGCATGTCAGTTACTACTAGTAGTCCTTTGTTAATTTATGTTGATCATCGTCAGTTTGCTTAGTGTCTTCTGTTACCTATTTTAACATCGGACTCTGACTTCTTTTAAACTGAGTTTTACTGTGCGATTTGCTGTGCGTTCGTTTATTCTACATTGGCTAGATTTATAGTAATAACATTAAGGGTACCAATTTTTCTGCACCATATGCGCATTTCGACAATAAATGTCTCTTCAGTGATGCCCGAGGCCAAAATATTTGAAAATCCAATGCTTATTGAAAAGATGAAGAGCTATAAACCAAAAAGGACAAAAAAAGTATAGCCAAAGCCGGGCAAGGAATCAGAGCTTTGCATGAGGGAGCTATATTCCTTAATTTAAAATAATTTTCAAAAATTTTGTAACAGCAAATTTGAATAACACATTTTTATAGGGGAGGGTTGAGATCTCACAAAACATGTTTTCCTGTTTGAATTGTTTTACACTAGCCATTTTGGGGCCCTTTATAGCTTGCTGTTCGGTGTGAGCCAAGATTCCGTGTTGAAGGCCTTACTTTGACCTATAATTGTTTACTTTTTACACATTGTGACTTGGATGGAACGTTGTCCCTTTGCCACTCATACCACATCTTTTTATTTCTATTAACACCGCCGCATGTTTGCGCCTGTCCCAAGTCAGGAACCTCTGGCTTTTGTTAGTCTTATATGTTTTTTTTAAATTTTGGTTGATTTATATGTTTCGGAGTTGAGTGTGACGACCATTGTCACTGAACTTGCGTACAATTTTGTTTAGGGGCCAGCAGAAGCCCGCCTCCCTGTGCGGGATTTTTTTTTGCTGAGATGAAGGCCTTTTGGTGGCCTTCGGCTGTTTTCTGCTCTTTGGTCGGGTTGTTGTCTGTTTGACATATTCCCCATTTTCATTCTCAATTTTATTCCAGTTTGCCGTAAGTATAAAAATACTTTTCACCTTACGGCCTTCAACAATGACCAAAGCCCATACCGCATAATCAGCCATAAAAGGCCCCACAATGACAAATGTAAAACAATTCAAACGAGAAAAACTAAAGGCCTAATTTATGTACAAAATAATGAACGAAAAACAAATCTGTTACACAAGAAACAAACGACAACCACTGAATTACAGGCTCCTGACTTGGGACAGGCACATACAGAATGTGGCGGGGTTGAACTCGTTTGAAAGCGTTAACCCTCCCCTAACATGGGACAGTGGTGTAACAGTACAACATAAGAACAAACTATAATAATCAGTTGAAAAAGTAAGAACACTTTTTAGAAGATTTTATACTTCAGATCGTCCCTAAGGCTTTGACATAATTTGTGGAAAGAATGTGTAAGCAGATTCTCTATAATATGAAGAGGTTTCAAAAATATAATCAAATTCATGTTACTCTCAACTGAAAATAAAATCTTTTAATTGGTGTATATCCAAAAATGCATAATCAATATCATTATAAATAGTTCTGTGCAAGGCAATAATGATTTTGCAGCGACCATTCTCTAGCAATTTGTGATTTTTTGGTTTTGTCAACTTTTTTGTCACCGAAAAAAGTATATTTCGGAATTTTGCACTGTCTTGAATGTTTTTTTATTTTTATTTTCTATAGTTCTAACTGTATTTAAAGTACTGATGAGAATTTTTTCAAAGGTCAACCATTGATTATTATTTAAAATTACCTATTCGAAATATATGATTAATAAATAAAAACAACTTTAATTGGTTTTATACTTTTGCAGAGGTAGTAGCTTGTGAAGACCTTAATCCAGTAAATTTCGCTACAATAATTACCCAGACGGGTACAAACTACCAAGACACAATAACTTATGCTTGTATCACTGGCTATAAATTGACGTCTGGTAGTCTGACTCGTCAATGTATGGCTAATGAAAACTGGAGTGGAAGTCTTCCAGTCTGCGGTAAGAACACTTTGTAGAAAATATCATACTTAAGATCGTACTAGATATTTTATTCCTTAAGGCTTAAGCATAAATTAAGGAAAGAATGTGTATGCAGATATCTATAGTATGAAGAGGTTTCCAAACATAATCAAATTCATGTTTCTTTCAATTGAAATAAAATCTTTCAATTGGTTTATATCCAAAAATACATAATCATCATCATTATGAATAATTCATTTCATGGCAACCCTTATTTTGCAGGGACAATCCTCTAGCAATTTGTGATTTGTTGCTTTTTTTAATTTCTTTGTCAAAAAAAAACAAAGTATATGTCGGAATTTTGTATTGTCTTGAATTTTGTTAAAAAAATTGTAAATTTAAAATTACCTATTCGAAATATATAATTAATAAATAAAAACAACTTTAATTGGTTTTATACTTTTGCAGAGGTAGTAGCTTGTGAAGACCTTAATCCAGTAAATTTCGCTACAATAATTACCCAGACGGGTACAAACTACCAAGACACAATAACTTATGCTTGTATCACTGGCTATAAATTGACGTCTGGTAGTCTGACTCGTCAATGTATGGCTAATGAAAACTGGAGTGGAAGTCTTCCAGTCTGCGGTAAGAACACTTTGTAGAAAATATTATACTTAAGATCGTACTAGATATTTTATTCCTTAAGGCTTAAGCATAAATTAAGGAAAGAATGTGTATGCAGATATCTTTAGTATGAAGAGGTTTCCAAATGTAATCAAATTCATGTTTCTTTCAATTGAAATAAAATCTTTCAATTGGTTTATATCCAAAAATACGTAATCATCATCATTATGAATAATTCATTTCATGGCAACCCTTATTTTGCAGGGACAATCCTCTAGCAATTTGTGATTTGTTGCCTTTTTTAATTTCTTTCTCAACAAAAAAAAACAAGATTTATATCGGAATTTTGTACTGTCTTGCATTTTTTAAAAATTTTTTATAATGCTAACTGTATTTGAAGTGCTAATGTGATTTTTTCAAAGGTCAACCATTGATTGTTATTTAAAATTACCTATTCGAAATATATAATTAATAAATAAAAACAACTTTAATTGGTTTTATACTTTTGCAGAGGTAGTAGCTTGTGAAGATCTTAATCCAGTAAATTTCGCTACAATAACTAACCAGACTGGTACAAACTACCAAGACACAATAACTTATGCTTGTATCACTGGCTTTAAATTGACTTCTGGTAGTCTGACTCGTCAATGTATGGCTAATGAAAACTGGAGTGGAAGTCTTCCAGTCTGCGGTAAGAACACTTTGTAGAAAATATTATACTTTAGATCGTACTAGATATTTTATTCCGTAAGGCTAAGGCATAACTTATGGAAAGAGTGTGTATGCAGATATCTATAGTATGAAGAGGTTTCCAAATATAATCAAATTCATGTTTCTTTCAATTGAAATAAAATCTTTCAATTGGTTTATATCCAAAAATACATAATCATCATCATTATGAATAATTCATTTCATGGCAACCCTTATTTTGCAGGGACAATCCTCTAGCAATTTGTGCTTTGTCAACAAAAAAAAAAACAAAGTATGTATCGGAATTTTGTACTGTCCTGAATTTTTTTTTAATTTTTTATAATTCTAACTGTATTTAAAGTGCTAATGTGATTTTTTCAAAGGTCAACCATTGATTGTTTTTTAAAATTACCTATTCGAAATATATAATTAATAAATAAAAACAACTTTAATTGGTTTCATACTTTTGCAGAGGTAGTAGCTTGTGAAGACCTTAATCCAGTAAATTTCGCTACAATAACTAACCAGACTGGTACAAACTACCAAGACACAATAACTTATGCTTGTATCACTGGCTATAAATTGACTTCTGGTAGTCTGACTCGTCAATGTATGGCTAATGAAAACTGGAGTGGAAGTCTTCCAGTCTGCGGTATGAACACTTTGTAGAAAATATTATACCTAAGATCGTACTAGATATTTTATTCCTTAAGGCTTAAGCATAACTCATGGAAAGAATGTGTATGCAGATATCTATAGTATGAAGAGGTTTCCAAATATAATCAAATTCATGTTTCTTTCAACTGAAATAAAATCTTTCAATTGGTTTATATCCAAAAATACATAATCATCATCATTATGAATAATTCATTTCATGGCAACCATTATTTTGCAGGGACAATCCTCTAGCAATTTGTGATTTGTTGCTTTTTTTTAATTTCTTTGTCAACAAAAAAAAAAACAAAGTATATTGGAATTTTGAACTGTCTTGAATTTGTTTTAAATTTTTTACAATTCTAACTGTATTTGAAGTGCTAATGTGATTTTTTTCAAAGTTCAACCATTGATTGTTATTTAAAATTACTTATTCGAAATATATAATTAATAAATAAAAACAACTTTAACTTGTTTTATACTTTTATAGAGGTAGTAACTTGTGAAGACCTGGATCCAGTAAATTTCACTACAATAACTTACCAGACTGGTACAAACTACCAAGACACAATAACTTATGCTTGTATCACTGGCTATAAATTGACTTCTGGTAGTCTGACTCGTCAATGTATGGCTAATGAAAACTGGAGTGGAAGTCTTCCAGTCTGCGGTAAGAACACTTTGTAGAAAATATTATACTTAAGATCGTACTAGATATTTTATTCCTTAAGGCTTAAGCATAAATTAAGGAAAGAATGTGTATGCAGATATCTATAGTATGAAGAGGTTTCCAAACATAATCAAATTCATGTTTCTTTCAATTGAAATAAAATCTTTCAATTGGTTTATATCCAAAAATACATAATCATCATCATTATGAATAAATCATTTCATGGCAACCCTTATTTTGCAGGGACAATCCTCTAGCAATTTGTGATTTGTTGCTTTTTTTAATTTCTTTGTCAAAAAAAAACAAAGTATATATCGGAATTTTGTATTGTCTTGAATTTTGTTAAAAAAATTGTAAATTTAAAATTACCTATTCGAAATATATAATTAATAAATAAAAACAACTTTAATTGGTTTTATACTTTTGCAGATGTAGTAGCCTGTGAAGACCTTAATCCAGTAAATTTCGCTACAATAATTACCCAGACGGGTACAAACTACCAAGACACAATAACTTATGCTTGTATCACTGGCTATAAATTGACTTCTGGTAGTCTGACTCGTCAATGTATGGCTAATGAAAACTGGAGTGGAAGTCTTCCAGTCTGCGGTAAGAACACTTTGTAGAAAATATTATACTTAAGATCGTACTAGATATTTTATTCCTTAAGGCTTAAGCATAAATTAAGGAAAGAATGTGTATGCAAATATCTATAGTATGAAGAGGTTTCCAAATGTAATCAAATTCATGTTTCTTTCAATTGAAATAAAATCTTTCAATTGGTTTATATCCAAAAATACGTAATCATCATCATTATGAATAATTCATTTCATGGCAACCCTTATTTTGCAGGGACAATCCTCTAGCAATTTGTGCTTTGTTGCTTTTTTTTAATTTCTTTGTCAACAAAAAAAAAACAAAGTATATATCGGAATATTGTACTGTCTTGAATTTTTGTTTAATATTTTATAATTCTAACTGTATTTAAAGTGCTAATGTGATTTTTTCAAAGGTCAACCATTGATTGTTTTTTAAAATTACCTATTCGAAATATATAATTAATTAATAAAAACAACTTTAATTGGTTTCATACGTTTGCAGAGGTAGTAGCTTGTGAAGAGCTTAATCCAGTAAATTTCGCTACAATAATTACCCAGACTGGTACAAACTACCAAGACACAATAACTTATGCTTGTATCACTGGCTATAAATTGACGTCTGGTAGTCTGACTCGTCAATGTATGGCTAATGGAAACTGGAGTGGAAATCGTCCAGTGTGCCGTAAGAACACTTTGTAGATACTTTTATTATAAAGATCGTACAGTATATGTTATTCCTTAAGGCTTAAGCATAAATTATTGAAATTAGATGTTTGCAGATATGTCATAGTATAAATTGGTTTTTACATATGATATTATACGGTATTTGTCTTTCTTAATTCTCTCGAACAGTTAAAAAGATAGTTCCTTCGTAGTATGTCCAAAACAATTACATATACTGAGAATTTTGATTTTCCCATCATTTTTCACAAAATTAATATTCATTTTATTAGACTAATTAGTTAATGAACTTTGTTAATTTAAGTGTGATTTTCGTTTAATATGCTAGTTGTTTTTTCCAATCTGACATATTTTACAGTCTGCAATACCAAGTACTGAATATTGTCAGTTTTAGTTTTCAACAATTAGCATTTGTAAAATAATGTAAGATTATTAAAAAGAGAGAAAAAATACCAAAATACAATCAAAACTACATACCGAAAAAAAACAGATAACACCATGACCAAAACAATAAAGACAAACAGACCAACTTTCAACAAATCACAACATGTAACAGGTTAAGCAATCCGATCCCTTCCAAAAAGCCCGGGATGAACTGAGGTTCAATTGAACAGTTGTAATAATAGAAACAGTTGACATTTCAATACATGAGTGGTTTATAGTGTATTAGTTCAGCTGCGAGTTTAGCTGTGATTATACATCCAAAATATTTGCCTCCTTTACTTTGACAAAAACTAAAGGATTCAATGTATTACTTTGTGACACAAAACACCTTACGGGCACTGATAACTACAGGTTAACAAAAGCAAGGAGAAGAGCTTGATGTTCTTCATTTCAAATCACAGTCATTATTAGAAATATGAAAATAACAATTTATAAATTCCTTGTGTCCGAATCGCTTTGCTGGATTTACCTTAATCGGGAAAGATTAAAGCCAAATTTTTGAAAAGCTGTTTAAGAACCGAAACACGTAAAGAACTATATTACCAAAAGATACCTAGAAACTATAGCCAAATCCATCGTAGGTCACTTTTGCCTGAGGGAACCTTATTTTCTTAATAATTTCAAAACTTAAAAAACTCATGAAATTCATACAGTGTTGTTTTCCCTTTTTTTTTTTATTTATAAACGAATAATTCACGAAAGAGCTTTCAACCTCGTAAAACACCTAACTGCTAATTAAAGACGGATCCATGCATCGGTTTGAGCCAAATTCCTTCCGGAAAATTGTAAAACGCGTAAATTTTCCGACTGTCTAAACCTAAGAGACTTAAGTCCTAACATGAACTATGTAATGTCACATTTATTTTCAATAACGCAAATGTCTTTCGCAAAAATTCGTACCATGTGCTTTTTAATATACAACTCCATACAATTATATGATTTATTCATTTCCTGTGAGGTATACTCTTCTGACAGTTGACATAGGATAATGGGTATTTAACAATTTCTACCATTTAAAATTTTGCAAAATGAAAGGTTTTTAAGTACGTGACTTGAGTTCTGGCTTCCAGCATAGTGAAAAAAGATCAACCATAATTTTTTTTTCAAAGGTGGTTGACATTTCAGGAACATAAAACAGACCTACGATAATAAAGAGTTTAAAAAAAATATTCAGATGATTTGCAAAAACCTATAAAAAAAGAGATAGATATAGCTGACTTTAAAATTTATATCATATTACAAAGCTACAAACGAATGAGTATTTCCTAAGTTATTTTTTTTCCTCTCTTCTGAATTAGTTCTTGGTTGTCACGGTCGCCGATGAAGGTGGAAATGAGTACACTTGAATAGGAGGAGACCATGCAGCAACATTTTTGCATAAAAGATGCTTTTTATGAATGTTAACAACGCACACAACACATAACGAAAACAAAAGATACACGAAAATTTAGATTTTACATTAAAAAGTTTACAATCTTTCAATAGGCGATATATATAAAATATTTTAACTTTTTTAAATGTTTTAACTGTGTGTACTTCTATATATATATATGACTAGATATATCTGCCTATGTGTAGTGACAACTGCAAATTATACCTTGTCCATCGGAATTCTTATGATTAAGAAATACTAGGCTTTAGAATATTTATGAAGTGCCTAGCAAATCAACCATACAATAGAATAGCATCCTGCAATCATACTGAACAGAAGAGTAGATGTTCATTCCTGTACACTTAAAAATACTTCGTATATTGTAATTAGTCGTCCTTTTTAAATACCTACGAGACGAGAAACCTGATTTTTTATGTACAGGTACAGATTCCAGCCTGATCGGGGAGGAAGTAAAGAATCAAATCTATTCTAATATTGTTAGGTTGATTTTCTAGGCACTTGATACATGTTATATATATTTTGACTCTTAAAAATTCAAGAGTCAGTCCGAAATTGAGGTAAATTATATGGCCATCCAAATACCGTTTCGATTCCTAACATCACTGAAGAGACATTAATTGTCGAAATCCGGATATGGTATACAAAGTTTTGCACCTCATGTTTGCGGTATACCATCTTTTCCGCAAGTTTATTGTTTTCTGTTTGGTATTTAATTAATAAGTTAAGATCCATTTTTACATCTGGTGACCCGTTTATTTGGCAATCGCCATGGCAGTCAGCAGGGTTTAAGAACATCCGTTGTTCGACCTGCTAGTCAAATGCGTTTTGTTAAAATATACTTTTTCACTTTTTTGGTCTTTTGGAAAATGTTGTTTGTGCTGTATTTAGACAACTCTACCAAGAAATTTGTTTTGGATGCACACGTATAAAAATTGCGGTTTTTATCCAACGCAATCATAGGTTTGAACGTTGTTTTCAATTTAGACTTGTATATATATATATATATAGAAATACAAAAGACATTGCTAAATATTGCTTCTTGAAGAGTTCAAATTCCAGCTCGATTTAAGATTCCAGATGCGCCGCAAATTGTAAGCAAATCGAATGATTACAAATGCAAAGATACTATTTGTGTCAAATTGAACAGTTATATCAAATAGACATCAAGGTTATACGGTAAAACATTTATTTTAACTGTGTGTTCTTCTATAAATCATCTTTTTTGTTTCATTTATTATTAGTTTTTTTTTAGGGGGGAGGGGGTTGTAACAGTAATGTAATCCTGAGCAGTTGCAAAACTTTACAAAGTACTGAATATCGAACTAATGCATACTGAAAATACAATACAACCCTAAAAAACATTTCACACACGAAGTGTATAATATTATGATGACACAGTCGATGCCCAATAAAGCTTATTAGGTGGTGCTTGTATTCTGATAGCTAGCAAAATGTTTTTTTAATAAGCATAGTTTAATGCAAGCAAATATATCTACTTCTATCAAAATAAGAATATATGGATTGAATGGCTATTGGACATCTCTTCACCATTAATTATTCTTTTTGAATCTTATTTGATTGACAAAAAAACCTCAGTACCAACATTCGTACGGATGAGTTCTTTCCTTCATACATATGGTATCATTTCTATCAATATATCCATTTGACAACATATTGAAAACACTGTTGACATTAACACGTTTTGTTAGTATTTATTCACAAAGTTGAAGTATTACCTAAGTTATTTTCTTTCTCTCTTTGAACAGGTCATCATTGTCACAGTCACCGAAGAAGAAGGAGATGAGAACACATGACTACGATGAGACTATGCTGCAACATGTGTTTATCTGTTTAAGATGCCTTTTATGAATGTTAGCAAACATGTGACCAACATTAAAGATATACAAAAATGTTGATTCTTCAAAAATATTTTTTTTAAATCTATCAGCAGAAATTGTGAAATTGGAAAGAATTTATAAGCCTGTGTGTTGCGACGCCTGTAAATAATACCTTGTCCATCGGATTTCTTATGATTAAGAAATTCCAGGCCTTAGAATATTTATAAAGTGCCTAGAAAATCTACCTAACAATGTTAGAGTAGATCTGATTCTCTACTTCCTCCCGGAGCGGGGCTGGAACCTGTACTTTTCACTTTTCACTTCTACGACAACACCGCCTAGCATTGCGCAGACGCCTTATCCCTTCCTGTAACTATTGCTGATAAAAATCAGCTTTCGTTTCGGGAGGTGTTACCTTCTCGTAGATATTAAACAAGGACATCTAACATAGTACACGAAAAAATAGAATAGCATCCTCTAAGTTTACTGAACATATGAGTAGATGATCATTGCTGTAGACTTAAATATACTCGTGTATAGTGTTTCTTTCTTTAAAATAGATAGTGACCTTTGATCTTGATTTCTGAAAAACTGCATCATATTTTCTTTTGACGATCAAATTAACTTTAAATTAAACACATTTTCGAATCGAATGATGTTGAATGATATATGATATAGCCAAATGGAGCAGGATAAGTTAACCCTTTTGGAGCACCTGAGATCACCCCTGGTTTTTGGTTGGGATCGCGTTGATCAGTCGTTAGTTTCTTATGTTGTGTTTTGTGTGCTGTAGTTTGTCTTTTAGTTTTTTTTGGGTTTTTTTTTTGCCATGGCGTATTCAGTTTAATTAACTTCGATTTAATGAGTTTGAATGTCCCTTTGGTATCTTTCGCCTTTCTTTTTCAAGACCTTTTTCTCCGGCATTGAATACACTTTGGTTCATCTAAAATTGGGAGATATGAAACACAACTGTAACTTCGAGGCGCTTCTATGACAAATAACAAAAAAACCCTGTACAGAAAGGAATATTTTGTCCTGATCGACAGTATGTACTTGCCATGATCACATATATATATATATATATATACATGATTGCTGTTTATTCCAAAGTTTTCGATCGTCGTGATTGTTCTGGTCTGTATTAATTGATTTGAAATCAGTATCTTTAAACCCATTATCTATTTTATATCGCACTGCTTATTTTTCCTGGTTAATTTATGAATAAGCTTGAATCCCAGTGAAGGTTTACAGTGATGTTAAAGCAAGTCACCCTTTTACCTGATTCTATTTTAGTATGAATATGTAATCCCTTGTCTTCGTTGTAGCTTTTGTTTATTGCATTATATACAAGAAAATGTGAAAATATAGATTGATTTAAACTTGGCCTTCGATTTCCTGGCTTGAGAAGGCTGCTATTGTATTCGAACGTCTCCTATTAAATTATAGGTGAAACATTGTGTTCTATGACTATTGTATTAACAACAGTTACCAATAAAGTGCTGTAAGAATATAAATTATTAGTAATTGTGTATCAACAATCTTAGTCGAATTTATTTTTTAAACATTCTGACCAATCATATTAAACAATGAAATAAGAATCCTTATTCTTACTTAAAATCAAATGTAGCAATTAATCTACAGATACATCAGTTTATTCAAATATTTACACAAACAAAATACGGATGGGATCTATTCATGGCATTTGTTACTGCAATTAGTTTATGACGATAACTGCATTACGATAAGATATATTTAAGCTTCGCACACAGTAAATTGCCAATTAGTATTTACAGTTTGAAAGACCACGGACGATACCACTCCACTACGATTGCTGATACACAATTCCTAATAATTTATATTCTGAAGGCACTTAATTGATAACTGTTGTCAATATATGTGCACCAAAATTATGTAGCTGTCTCATTAAAAAGATCTAGATACGGTGCTTTTTATCAAAAAATGGGTTATTTGGAAAAGTAGAAACCTCGCAAAATATCAAAAGAAAGGGATAACAAAATTGATGATTTTGAGTATGATAAAACATGAAATGGATTTTTTGTTAAAATATTTTAAACAAAATACGAACAATGAAGCCTCCTCTATTATGTGTGAGACTTTTTGTAGATAATTTTATATTTTTGCTTGGTCAGGTTAGTGTAATGATCACTTTAATACTGTATAAATTACCATATACATTGTAATCAACACTCCTATGTACTATGCCTTTTCTATTATGTATATAAAATATGTCTAATATATGCTTGTAACAAAGATAAATTGTATCGACAGGTACATATTGAAAGCAAATATTTACTCACCATAACTCTGATATAACTCCTTTTTGAAAAAAAAAATATAAATCTTACTTTTTATGAATGATTTACACATTTCCTTCCAAACAAATTTTAACAAGTAGCATGTAGAATGTAATATAAATTAGCATAACAAAAGAACGAAATGAAATGCTTTAAAATTGAAACTACCTGCGTAATTCAATATGGTTAGATGAGAATTATTTATAATGGGAGTTTTTATTTCTCATTTGCATTTTCCCCAACCCTTGGTTGCTTCCCTGGACAACTTTAGTCATATGATTTATGCTGCAAGATAGATATAGAAATTGCTAAAACGCTACAACTCAACATTATCAAGCTATATAACGAAATATAAAATTATCCCCTTTCATAGAAACCAAGAAAAAGTTGATAAAAGTTTTCTACCCAAGGTCTTTCGGACGGTAAGAATGACTTAACAACAGACGGAGACAAGCTGTTAATAGACCTGCTGTGATCATAGGTGACACAAGTTAAAAGAGGCAAAAGATACCAATGTGACATCAAAACTCATAAGGGGACGACCATTTGATATTCTGGGGGGGGGGGGGGGGGGGGGGGGGGGGGGGCAGGAGGATTTGTTTTGGATCGGTTATTTATTTTTTGTAAACTAAGAGGACAGATTATCTATTTTCTGCACTATTGAAGCAAGATTTTTCATTTTCATTAAAGCAAGGGACTGATTATTTATTTTTCACAACTATATTTATAATATTGGAAAACATACAATTTTTAAATTATTTGTTTTATTATATATAATTCATGTATAGTCAAGTCATTATGTATCATTTAATCAGAATTAATTCTTATCCTCTGCAGAAATGAATCTTCTATATTCCCCAATGCATATACATGTATTGCATACATACACAGTATTCAAGTTTGGTTGTAACTAAGGCTCTTTTAAAAAGTATTGGCAAACATGTTTCGCCGAGCGGAGCGAGGCAAATTTTTTTGAAGGGTTTTTGAACCGCTGAAGGCCCAAGAAGCTATAGAACAAATGATGCAAAATCATGCCTTCTGGGTGTTCCCCAGACCCTTTCTTAAACTGAAAATGCAAGTTCGGTTTTAATATTTTTATGACAATATTTTGGTCTCAAAGCAAAATCACGTTATAGATTCAGTGTAAGACTTAAGTTTCTAGGAACAACATCAAAAGACAAATATGCATGATAAAGCAAAAATGTAATTCACATAGTTAAGGTCTGTGGCTGCTGTGTTTTTTTTTTAAATCATGATCAAGTTAATAATAAAATTACTAAATTACAAAATGAATGCAACACTAACAGAATACAGAAGGGCAATCAATGAACAAAAGACAAATAAATAAGAAACATTGATCCCGAAAAAATCAGGGGCTACGTCTGAGGGAGAACAGAACTTGCTTCTTGCAAGGCACTCACGGTGAACACAATTTGATATAGAGACAAGCGTTTGGTTTTGAAATTTCCCTACATGAGGCATTTGTCTCAATGTAGTTCTACGGCCCTGATTTAATAAAAGTGAGGTAAGTGTTCCTGAGACAATTAACCTCAAGTTAAATGAAACCAATTTTCTGACATTTCAAGTATATTTAAATAATATTTATACTTTTATTATTAAAAGATATGGAAGTGTTTCCCCCCCGATTTTATTTTGGAAAAAAAGATGAATTTATGAAGAATCTGGTGCCATCTCATACTTTCGATTAGACCTGCTGAGTTATTTATTTTCAATACATTGCAAGTCAGGTAATTTATTTTCAAACTACCACAGAACAAACCATTTATTTTTGTGATTATCAAGGCTGAGTTATTTATTTTCAAAATCCCTCCTGCCCCCCCCCCCCCCCCCCCCCCCCCCCCCCCCCCGAATATCAAATGGTCGTCCCCTAAGTCGAAGACAAAACTGACAAACGCCATGGATAAACACAAGAAAACGACGAAAAAATAAACAAACCCACACAATACTACATAAAACTAATGACTGAGCATGATAAAGATAAGGTCTTATTTAGTCAGGACATGCATTCCGGTTTCAAATAATTGAGATTTGTATGTGAAATTATAATATATGTGATGATAAAAATCCATTAACAATATCTACATGTGCAGTGATAGAATTAAAGGAGACATGGAGTTTACGTCAATGAAACAGAAACACAGCAACAACTAAAAAAAAAAAAAAACAAAAAAAAAAAAAATAAAGCAAAATAAAAGCCATCTCGAGGTTAGCATATTATGTAAATTCGAATAATTAAACAATCGTAGTGCGTTAGGGACACTAGGGTATGTTCTTATATTCGTTCTCATGTTCGTTGAATATTTGTCCAAAAACCATATATCTAACAATCGACCAAAATCTATTTATGGTTACGTAAGTCTTATAATAGACCTTGTTATGAAGTTATAAACTGTGTTTATTATTACACCACGGTACTTTAACTATCGTGTGTTGCTATGCATTAGCTCTCTGTTTTATACAAAATACAAATTATAATCAAACTTACCGTAAATAAAAGCAAAACATGGCTAATTTTATATCATGCGTTTTAACGCACTTTATAACTTCACAGGACAGCTAATACACAAAAGTTTGGATATCTAGAGCTATAATATAATTGAGAATGGAAATGGGGAATGTGTCAAAGAGATAACAACCCAACCAAAGAACAGCTGAAGGCCACAAACAATGTAACGAAAAGGGACATGTATGTAGACTACTCAAGGGCGTCCATCATCGACCTTGTTCATGGAGAGGCT